TAGCTCCATTTACACGAAGTCGAACTTCATCCTTGGTTGGATCCTGTTTAGTCTGATTGTGTAGAGCCACGATACTTGAAAACTTCGGTTGATTTACGAGCTCCCCGTCAATCAAGATGGGTTGTGTCAAGGTAGAAGTTCCCAGGAGATCATGGCATTGTTGGCCCGGTAACTCACGGCGACTACTACTCCAAGCAAACCGGATATATTAGTTGATCCGCTATGGTTTAATCGGTAAGTTGCGTCGGTATATGGTCGATTTTTATTTGTTTTGTGTCACAGTTGGGTAATCGGCAGGTAATCCAAAGAGACAGAAGTCGGACAGTGAACGCATTGTAATGCACTGGTTTCCAGTGTCTAGCAGTGTCCTAACATTTCAGCAAGTCAGGTGGATGCTGGATCTGATACTTGAATGATTTAGATCCTCATCTAACTCATTGTCGCCCCAGCCACAAAGAGGGCCTGTCGCTTCCCGTGAATGTCGTAGCATGGGCGTGATGTAGCATTGTAAGACAATCCATGAAGAAATTGAGGAATAAGGTACCTACTGACGTCCTCAGTGTTGTTAGAGAGTGCACCTTAAACCCTTGCACAATCAAGGGTAACAGTAGGTGGTAGTTGGTAACAGCAAAAACGGTTCATATACGTTTCGGATCGCTTAGCGCTAGTTCACCGTGTCCGTGAGGTTTGAGGATCGGTGACTGATACTTAGCTCGTACGCTCCTCTCAAACCTGTTCCTACCTAGGTGAGTAGGCAAGTAGTGATGACCCTTTTTGGTGACGGGCCACATTCGCATACGTCACGATGCTGTCGCAGACACTTACGGCTATTAAGAAGGGATATCGATTACCATTCGGAAAACTCACCATGTCCTCTAGCATCGCAGCTGATCATCCGCGACCGATTATTTAGTGATATGGCCCTCAATCAGTTAACGGTTAACCACCAAGGTGGCCGTTTTCCTATACCAGACCAGGAGAAGCGCTCGACAGCATTCAGCAGTGTTAACCATGGCAATGCCTTGGTTACGGACCAAGGGTGTTCATTCAAAGATCAACCTATCTGAAGACCGCCACTTGTTTTCAAGATGGACCAGAGATCAATAGCCTCATCACGGAGATTGTTTTGATAAATTGGTTGGTCCTGATTTATGAATAACTTTTTGGTGGTGCTCTTGTTTCCTGCTACCCCGTCAACCATAAGTCTGTATCCGCCAATTGCCTACACAGTTTATGGTGACTTAGTCAAGTGGGGTCAGGCCAATGACAATGCAGCGTTTGTATAAATCAATCATAATCTTCTACGACCCCCAATCACAAGATAGGCGTGGATTACACTGTGATGAACCGCTTATATAACCGCCCTGTTTGGGAAGAGAGTGCACGCCGAATTACTCTTTTACTCAAAGAACGTCTATTGTCTCTTGGGACAGTTTGTACGTCATTTCTGATGATTCTCGTCATAAATTGACCTTAGGGTCACCATTTCTATCGATTTATTATGTGTCCGGTTATACTCCCACCCCCATCTGGGGTTTTCAGGTACCTGGATAGCCGCAATTCTATTCTTAGGGGTCTCTCTTGCGCGCGTGCGCGACTTCATCCAGCAACATCACATAGGTCACACGCCCAACCGTAACTAACCGCACTTTCTCCCGTAGATTTTCCGGTATGCACTCTCTCCGTGAAACGACACAAAAGTAATTCCGAACGGGAAGCACTATTCCCATATTGGCAGCGCTCGATAGGACAGGGCAAACAGAGCAATAGTATGCATGAGAGGGTACGCTCTAACCCAAAGCTACACTGTCACGAAGCACCGTAACACCCCTCCTGACGATCGGCATAGATCAAGGAGTTGTTTGCAGGGGCCCAGTTCCTCGACTCTGAACCTTAGGATCCGAAATTCGAACCCCTGCCAACATCACGAAACTTTAACGGTATGAGATTCGCTATCATACAGCTCAATACTGCGCCTATCCTATTCGAGCGTTATATACTCTTTCAGAGCTTATTTTGCCGGCTACAAAAGAGTGAGTAGTAGGTCCTTCTGTTGGTCATCATACTAACGTGTGTAACAGAAAATATGATAAACGATGGAATGCATAAGCTTCATCGTGGCTGTTCGGTTAAGGAAATTTGTAAACTCACTTTACACTTGAACTGTCGGACCACTCTTGGCCCCAGTGGTAATTACATTGAGATTCATTGTTTTACGAATGGGTGACTGAATGCCCACGGACCTAGACAGATTTGACCACAAAGTTGAAATCTCAACTGTGCAGGGGCCACCAAATGATCAGTCTAACGAGGTACCGCTTGAAACTGAATAAACAAATATGTTGCAGCTGTTCGCAGAAGTAGACCAATAAGAGTTCTCCTGATGATCGATTACATGAGCACACGAAAGAAAGCAACCAAAACCGTCGCACGACGGTACAGGGCTTATGACTGAGAAAACTGAACTGAACTGACCAGTAAGAGCCACTACTCACCATTGTACTGTTCTGGGCCAGGATAGCCTGACGCCGATTGCATCGCTTGTGCATTTAGCTTGGGATCCATCGAGCCATCAGACATCATGGGGTAGTACTGATGAGAAGGCGGGAGTCCCGAACAGGCGGTCATTCCAGATGGATGTGCACCAGGTCCAGCCGCAGAGGTCGGAACGGTAGCAGCTCCTGCACCGTTGACGGCGACTCCTGCGTTTACTTGTCCATAATGCATAGACGATGATGACGGACCAGGAGCTGAAGCGTACATTGTATCCGCGGCCGTTGTATAGGAGTGCATTGAGGATGGATGACCAATCATCGAAGGGTTATAGGAACTCGTTGGCTGTAACCAAAAGTAAAATAAAAAAGAGATGGAACAATGTATGGCTCAAGTAATCTATTTTGTGCATAATTTTACTCCAAGTTGTGATGGACTACTGAAATTCAATCTGTACCGTGACCTTTTGACCTAGCCGTTAGATCAAAGTAAATTGTGATAATATGGAGGCACTATCGATAGTTACGTTGCAAAAGTGAGTAACGATCAACCATATGATGAATGACCGATTGAGTAAGGCTTCAGTACGGACGAACTCGGTTCAGTAAATGCGGAAGAATCGATTGGTATCAGTAATTCCAGAAACTGAAGATCAATCAATCAGCTGATTGGAGACGTTATACATACAATGGCGCGGTAGACAGGCCGAGAAAAATGGAGCTAATTTGGGCCACATCGCGATAGTCGATGCACGAACGTATCGACTGGTGCACGGGTCTATTTCTGCCTTGACCCATGCAACCCGTTTGCTGACCAGAGCTCACACAGGTAATTGCGCCCATGAGAAAGCACATCAAGCACAAACTGATAAATTGACATCCCTTGAAGTTTTAATAACAAGATCATCGTACGGACCAATAGAAACATTAGTATACAGACGGAAGACCCACACGAATCACCCGACATGTCATAGGAAGAGTTGCATTCAACTAATTTTAGAAAGGGTCACCGCACACTGCAGCAATGACAAGTTGAGGCAGAAAGAAACACCTCTATCAAGTATTCCTTCGCAAAGGCTATACCCGCAACTCCGTTAAAGAACGCAACAACAAACAAAAACGAATGGACGACCGAATAAGCAAATGCTCATACAGTGTGTGAAGAACATTTATGAAATGACGATGAGAATACTGAAACCACACAACATTTAAGTAGCCCATAAACCAACAATGGCCCTATGGAGAATTTTATGGAAAACTAAGTAGCAACAAGAAGACGAAAATCCACTGCAAGGACTGTAACAACACTACATCGATCAAAAGAGAAACCTAGCTACTTGCATACACAAACGCAAACTGATCATCAAAAGATACGATGCGCTCTCACTCATCTCAATTCACTGGGACCAAGAAGGACACGATTTCGATTGCTAAACCATCAAAGTCGTCGATCACGCCCGCGCCGAGGATGCGAGAGAATTTCTGGAAGCTTGGGTATTTCATCGGGGAACTCGATGAACCGATACATTGGCATCGGCTCCATGCAAAAAAGGACCAACCAGCGCAACGAAAGTGGGTCTTATCGTCGTGACAACAGTAACACCCAAACTGATTGACCAACGACAAACTATGGGATTACTCGCGTCCACTTCATCCCCT